TTTAGTCCGAAGGGCATTACGTTGTAGTAATAGTTACCCGAGCTGGTCATGAACGCCGTGCATCGTTTGTCGCCCAGGGCCATTGGGATTTGATTGTATCCCGAGTAGGCGTCCATGAACGACAAAGTCTTGTAGCCGGCCGAGTTGTCGACCAGCATGTCGATGTTAGGTAGAGGAAAAGCATCCTTCGGGCAAGCCCGATTGAGATCGGTATAATCAACACACATTCGCCATTTTCCATTATTCTTTTTGACAAGTACAACATTTGACAGCCAGGTGGAGTACCGGGCTTCAGAAATAAAATTTGCCTCTAAGAGGTCTTTTACAGCTTTTTCAGCAGCCTCCGTTTTTTCTGGAGACTGCCTACGCCTACGTTGTACTACTGCCTTGGCGGCTGGATCAATGGCGAGGTGATGACAGGCGACCTCAGGGTCGAGTCCGGGCATCTCTGCAGCGCTCCAGGCGAAGAGATCAGCATTCTCGCGCAGACAGGCCTTGATTTGCTTCCTGGCCAAGTCGGGGAGGTCTTTGTCAATCTTCACTCCCTTGGTCGGGTCTGCTCCGAGGGGAACGAGTTCGAAATCGCCGTCCGGAATAGGTCGGAGGGGGATTTGCTCGCTGCTGGCCGGCTCGTCTTGGTCAAAACGGGCGTCGAGCGCAATGGAGTCGACCTTTGGTGGAGCCTTCTGAACTTCTACCTCAGGAGATGCTCTGTCGGGCTCTTGCTTTGTCTTCTTGATGGGCCTAGTGCTGGGACCCACGTCGACAGTATCCCGACCCCTTGAAGCGGCGTTGAAGCACCTGCGGGCAGCAGCGAGGTCGCCCTGGATGGTGGCTACCCTCGCCCTCTTGGTATAGAACTTCATTTTTAGGTGGACAGTTGAGGGGACCGCTGTCAGCTCCGCCAATGTCGGCCTCCCTAAGATGCAATTGTACAGGGACGGACAGTCAATGACGAGGAAGCGGACCTTCACCTGTCTTGTAGCAGTTCCTTCCCCGAATGTCACGAGGAGCTCGACATACCCCCAAGGTTTGGACGTCGAGCCGTTGAAGCCTTGAAGGTCCGAACCTATATATGGAGACAGATGGGAGTCGTCCAGTTGTAAGGTCCGGAACAGCTGGGTGTACATCACGTCGACGGAACTCCCTTCGTCGACCAGGATGCGATGCACGTCAAAATTGGCCATCTTTGCCCTTATCAGCAAGGGGATGACTGCGTTCGGTGCTCCGCCGGGGAGCTCTTCCAAGTAGAAGGTGATAGGCTCTGATCTGCCCCTCACCATTTCGAAAGTCACAGTTTGTGGAGGAGCTTTGTCGACCAGTTCGTCCAACTTCCTCTTGGCCGAGTTGATGGTGAGGTCGTTGAACCCGCCCCCGTTGATGACCATGGCGGAGGGGAAGTATTCCCACCTGCTGTGTGTAGTCAGGGGCTCCTGCAGGAGCTCGGGAAGTTCGAAATCCTCGGGCCTGGTTACCGAGAAGGCGGTCTGGATTGGCACCGACTCGTCAGATGGTCGGGCATCTTCTTCGGGCTCCTTTGCCTCGCGGGCTTCACGACGGGGAGCGTCGTTTCTCCTGTACTGTGCAAGTCTCCCTCCTTTGATGAGGGTTTCAATAGCATCCTTCAGGTGGACGCAGTCCTCTGTCAAGTGACCATGACTCCTATGGTACTGACAGTACTTGTTTTTGTCTACTCCTGGCTTGGCAGGAGCTGGTCGGGGACGCTTGACGCCACCGTCTTTAAAATCTGTGCTTGCACACTCCGCCAGAATACGCTCGCGGGAAGCCGTGAGCGGAGTGTACTCAGTAAACCGGCCAGAGGGGCCCCTTTGTTCCCGGACCTCCCGGGGTCTGTCTTCCTTCCTCTTCTCTCCGGTGCGTCGGGGAGGAGGGTCTTGTCTCGAGCTGCTGCCATGATTGCGAGCCCTGGAGTCTCGTGCCCTGTTGGCAGCTTCTCTCTCCTCGTAGTCCATGTATGCTCGGGCTTTGTCGAGGAGAGCGTCAAAAGTTGCAGGTGGCTCAATGCCCACAGCTTCCCTGAATTCTGTGCCGGGGAGGAGGCCCCTCTCCAGCAAGTACCTCTTCATATGGTCCGCGCAGGGGACCTGGATTGCTTCCCGGTTGAAGCGGTTGATGAATTCCCTCAAGGTCTCATCATGTCTTTGGATGATGGCCTCGAGGGCTGCCTCGGTCTTCGGGTGGCGACGAGAGGCCGTGAAGGAACTGATGAACTGGTTCTTCAAGTTCCGCCACGAGGTGATGGAGCCCGGGGCAAGTCCTTTGTACCAGTCCATGGCCGCCTTCCTGAGAGTTGTTGGGAAGAGACGGCACTTGATGGGCCCCCCGACATTGTGATAGTGGAGCATGGCTTCGAACCCGTCAATGTGGTCGACTGGGTCCGCCACTCCATCATACTCCTTTAGGTGTGGGGGCTTCTCCATGCCCGGGGGAATAGGCGCGTCCATGATGGCCTGCGACAGGGGACCGCGGGGGTCGTCCTCGTCGCTCCTTTCTGGAGAAAGAGAAGGGGTCCTGTAGTGATGTCTGGCACGCTGGTCGTGCTGAGATTCCCTCGAGCGTGATGCTCGGTGGTTGAAGGTCACACGCCCGTCTCTGTTGTGCCTCCTGTCGTGCCTTGATGGGTCGCGACTGGGCTCTTCGGCAGGGATGACGGGCTGTCTTTCATACTGGGGCCGCCTCTGCCTTGGTGGGGGAGAGGGGCTCCTAGAGTTCTCCCTGTAATGTCTCCGCGGGGGAGTAGGGTGTCGAACTTCTTCGACCCGAGGAGGTGGAGATGGTGGCCTTTGATGTCTCCTCGGGGGGCGTCGATCATTTTCAAGTGCCCTTAGCCTTTCTCCTTGGGCGAACAGGAGATAGTTCGTCTGGTTGATGGCCGCGAACAGTGCCTGAGTCGTGGCATCTGCCCCGGCAGGGACTTGGACTTCATAGAACCGGGCAGCCTGGCGATAGGCGAGAGCCTCCAGATCGTCTTCGAGTCTTGGAGGAGTTGTCGAGGAGGACGCAATGTTCCCGTCCCTGCGGGTGGAAGGTCCAGGGGCGGTTGTCACGGGGACGGTATTGTGGCCGGCATCACTGGGATTGTCCAGGTGCCCATTCTTGTCCGCGGGACCGTTGTTGGTGTCGAGGACGCGGGTGTGTTGTTCCTCACGAGTTGGGGTAGCCATGACAGTGAATGGATTGAGCTTTGGTCTTTGAAACTGTTCGTTAGACGGGGAAGTTGTTTCCCACAGACGGCGCCACTGATCTGACCTGATCAGAAGGTTTGGACCGTCACGGCTTACTCCGAGCTGAAGGCTTTTTGAACGAGGAGGGGGGGTACCTGCAAGGCACTCCGATGCTTAAGTCAGTGGGAGTACGAGCAGATAATAGAGTTGAGGTTAGAATGATGAATACCTGACCCTCTGGAAACAGAGGGTATTTATAGCCCCCAGCGCTGGGCCAAGGTTCCTTCATTGGGCCGGGCGGATTTGGCCCAATGGAGGAACTGCCAGGTTCTACGTGGGTAGTGGGGACCAGCACGTGGTCCCCTTCCTGGATATGCTGCATGAAGTGCGGGCGGACGGAGACGCGGTCTTTCCGGAGTATCGTTGGGGCAATGGTGGACTAAGTCTGCCCTAGCAAGTTAGCTCGAGACCATGTCGAGCTGCGCAGCACGGTGCCGAGCTCGACGCCAAGACCTCGAGCTGGACAGCGAGTGTCGAGCTGGAAGCCAGGACATAGAGCTGGACGGCAGGCTGTCGAGCATGACTTCATCGTGGGGCTGGACACCGAGATGTCGAGGTGGACATCAGGGTGTCGGGCATGGACGTGACCCCCTCTGCCCAGTGTGGTCCTTAGTGAGTCCCTTTGGACTGGGCCTTAGTAATGCTTTTGGGCCTGTCGGGCCCAGTCCAGAACATATATATATATATAGGTCGGCCTATAAGACTTTATAGACTTTTTTAATAGTCTAAGTCTGATCTATTTAATTAAATAAACTTAAAAAAAAATCTAAATGTGACACTTTTATTAAATAAGTCTGACCTAATATGACCTTATGTATGTTAGATGATAAATTCCTATAGGTCGGCCTAACTTATTCTTATCCCTAATTATAATAATTGATTATAGAGTGAATATTTGCTTCATAATATATTAAGCCAAATTCATAATCTATTAAACTTTAGTTTAAAAAGGTTAGGCGCAAATCAAAAAGTTTTTAAAAACTATTTTGAAAAATAATTATTATGCAAAAATATCAACAAAGTGAAGTTGCTAAATAAGTGTTTATGTGATTTATTATGAACACTATCAAATTTAAATTATACGTATTTTATTAGTTAAATTTGTTCCAGTACTTAGTTCTCTTTGATTAGTTTGGTTTCGAATGTGGAAAAAAATTAATTATTTAATAAAGTAATTTCTCATTCTTTTCCTTTGTATCACAAATCAAAGTAAGTAAACATTTATTCATGGAATAAAGTGCAATATTACATATGAAGCATATATAAATGAGCTATTATCTGATCAATGATAACAAAGTTAAAACGATTAGAGAAATATTAACACAGCCCGTCTAGCTCAGTTGGTAGAGCGCAAGGCTCTTAACCTTGTGGTCGTGGGTTCGAGCCCCACGGTGGGCGTGATATTTTTTCTATTCGAAATTTACGCGAAACGGCATCGTTTATGTTCGAGCCCCACGGTGGGCGTGATATTTTTTCTATTCGAAATTTACGCGAAACGGCATCGTTTATATAGATTTTAAACTTGTTGAAAACACGTCGTATAATCTTTTCAAAAACATTCACTCCTTCATTCATAGTATTCTCTTGAAAGTGAGAAATTTCCTTGTCTACTCCACACACAAAAATCCATTTTATGCTACTTATAAATCAAGCAATTCCCACAAAACTCACGAAATAATTACAACTATTGAATATTCTAACATGAACTAAAAATTTCCTCACTTTTCTGCAATTCACCACTTCCTTTCTCCCAAAATGCACCCCCACACATTCTTATCTTCCCTCATTTTTCTCTCCACCCTTTCACTCCCCTCCCACTCTCAACCACACCGCTTTACACTCTCTCAACACCACCCTCCCCTAAATGGGCCCCACCAAGAATCCATAGAAGTAACCAACCCTCCCTTCACCCACCAACCAACCCCCTCATGCTCCCAACAAATCCTCCACCACTCCTTCGCCAACACTATCGACACCCCCCCTTATTCCACACCCTACCTCCCTCCCTTCGGCTGCCCTCCACCATGGACACGTGTCCTCCTTCACTTCCACGCCAAAACCAAAGGCGAACAATACGACCGCATCGCCGCCATCTGGCTCAACGGCGTCGAGCTTCTCCGAACCAGCACCGCCGAACCTTCCAACTCTAGAATCTTCTGGAACATTCACAAAGATATTACTAAATACACCTCCCTACTTGTTAAATCAAACCTCAACCTCACCATGATGCTTGAAAATTACGTAAACTCCGAATTCACCGGCGTTTATCATGTCACTGTCACTCTCTTATACTATTACGATAACACCGTTACAATTCCGTTTAATCTAAGTTCAGTTTCAAAGTCAAGATCAAGGTCTCTTGTGGAAGAAGTTGAAGTACCAGATTCTAAGGTTTTGAAGGAACTACCAGCTGATTTGATAATTCCGGTATCTGAAAATGGAAAACGAGGGTTTTGGTTTCGGTTAGAGAAAGAAAGGGATTTGAGAGTGAGAAGAATTCGAATTCCGCGGAATACTTATAAAGCTGTTCTTGAGTTGTACGTTTCTTTTCATGGAAATGATGAGTTTTGGTATTCGAATCCTCCGAATTCGTATATCAAAACGAACGGTTTAACTACCGGGAGAGGGAATGGAGCTTATAGGGAGGTTTATGTGACAGTTGATGGTGAGGTTGTTGGATCGGAGATTCCATTTCCGGTTGTTTTCACTGGAGGAATTAATCCATTGTTTTGGGAACCGATTGTTGCTATTGGTGCTTTTAATCTTCCTTCGTATGATATAGAATTGACACCGTTTTTGGGTAAGGTTCTTGATGGGAGAAGGCATGTTTTTGGAATTGGGGTGAGTAAAGGATTATCATTTTGGCTTGTGAATGCGAATTTGCACCTTTGGTTAGATCATGAATCTTCTATAGTTCACGCGAATCGAGTTATTCGTCATGGTCCGAAAACGGATGTTCAACGGCAAGAGGAGTTTAGAGGACTTGATGGCGAGTTTCATGTGGCAGCAGTGAAGAACACATTAGTGACAGGTTGGGTTTTATCGAGTTTCGGTAACGTTACCACCGTTGTATCGAAGGGGTTCAGTTTTAGTAATTTTATAAAGTTTAAAAGCAATGGAACTTATAAGATAGTTAAGCAGACATTCAAAGCGAAGAAGCTTGTTAAAGTGAGTGATAACAGAGGTGAAATGATTTCTAAGTTAAAAGTTAAGCGCAAGTATCCTCTGCGAGTTATTACTGTGACAGAACCAGGTTTGGGTGATAGATATAAGCTTGTTAGTAATTTTTCTCATGGTTTTATGGAGCGATATGAAGGTAAGGGAATCATGAATTCCATTAGTAATGTTCAGGAATCGAAGGGGTGGATTAATGTCAAGGGTCATTCTGTCCTACATGGTCATGCGAGCACGAAGCAAAATTATAGTCATGTTGATAAGTCGAATTGCTATAATCGGAATGTTGCAGCTGATAGTGGCAGGATTGTTACTGACAATTCAAATTTTATCTGTGAAAATTCCTTGTAGTTTCTCTTGCAGCAAGTGTACTTATTTGTGTAGTTTCCTGCATAGGTTTTTTGTGTAGTACATTCTTAATCTGTATGTTTCTGTTATTCTTATTTGTGCCACTGTGCCTTGATCTAGACATAGACAAAAATAAAAGATTCCTTGATGAACTGAAGATAACGATAAAAAGAATATCTTGTCCATATGGATGTTTTTGCCTGTAAAGCACAGACACTGAATACGACAGATATTAGGCGCACATGCAACAAAAAAATGTTGGTGCTAAATAGTACTTATTGTTTGTAAGTAGAATAGAATCCTAAGTTTGTGGAGTTTGAATCCCATGCAGTTAGAAATCACACAGTCGCCTATGGCTCCAAGCAGAGGAAAGCTTGAAGATCCACTACAAATTCAAGCATTATAGGTTGTTCAAGCCATTGATGCCATCCATGCTAGTATGTGGCAATAACCTATCTTTGATTTGCATAACTGGTATCTTTAATACCAAAAAGTAAATGGGCAAAATGGGACTAAACCCTTCAAAGATTAAATGTCACCATATTTTGTATTTGGTTTTCATTTTGTGTTGAACAAAAAAGGATAGTTGAGATTATTGAAGTTACTTGCTCGACAAGTTAACTTCATTATGGATGAAACTCTCAAGTTGAGCTATGATGTAACCATAATAACTACTCTCTGTTAGGAAGTTGAGAAATAGTTAGAAGTTAGTTGTCATGCATAACTAACTATAGTTACTATAAGTAGTGGATAGCTTAACATCATGCATTAGATTTTGTGTAATTCATTTTCATCAATGCAATGCAAGTTACTCAAATTATTCAACTTTCACATGGTATCATCGGCATGTTGCTTTATCATCATCATTGCCCCTGCATAATCACATTTCTTTCACAAATCTCAATCTGTTTTTCCGTCTTCCTCCATTGCTTGTTCCTCGTTTTCATTCTTGTTTTGTGCTTCAACAATGTCAGTTGAAAGTCCTTCAAGCACCCATAGTGGCCATATCCTTTTGTGTTCAACATTTTGGACGCAAAAAATTTAAATTAATTTTAGATGTATAGAATTAATTTTAATATAGAACTGATTATGACCTTTAAAATTAATTCTGCTTGAAAACATGATTTGTAGATTTTGAATGCAAACATGATTTTTACTGAGATATACTGATGCATGAATGTCATGAATATAACTTCAACTTACTTTTAATCAAAATCAATTTTACATAATCAATTTATTTAAAGAACCAAACATACGCTTAGACTCTTAAAATTCAAGACAATTGTTTCAACTTATTAGAAGTTATTCCTGAAATTTTAAGAATTCAGAATATACTTAGAATGGTAGTGTTACACTGTTATGTATGTAAGAAGCAATCAAACTCATGATATTTTCTATATTTACTATAAATACATGTTTAACCAACTAATTTCATACTCATACAAGATTACCTGGTGAATAAATTAATATTCCTTAAAATCCAAAAATCTTACTCGTAATTTTGATTTAGAATACATTGATACATGGAAAATGAAAAGAATACAACATCATGTTTATCAACCGGTGAGCATTTAGCTTCATAAACTTGTGGGACGCCAAAAACTTTTCCTACCTGCAATAAAGTGATTTTGATGCAAAGTTACAGACCAGTGAAGTGAGCGCAAGATTGCACTAAGTTTGCTAAGCATTTCCATGGAATCATGAATCACAAGATGCCCATCTGGTCTCAATATGCGATCTATCTCCACAACCACATCTACAAGGTCACATCTGTCAAAGTATGAAATATGTCAGAAACACACCTCAAATCAATAAACAACAATTCTACACAAGAATGAAGACATTGACGAGGACTTTGAGCTGGTCTACTGTCTAGGGTAGAATCCGCTTTTACAATAAGCATACCTTTGGTCAAGATGTTTGAAAAGAAAGCTAGCATGAAGGAGGTCATATGTGCGCGGATATGTATTAAAGGACTCACACCAATCATGATACGTTCCTATTAATCCTCGGTCCAATATAATAGAAAGTGTATCCGGCACATCAATGGGCACTACATTCATCACCCAGATGGGCCGATCAACAAGTGCTGCTGCAAATCTGAAAATAACACACTCGGTATTAGTTTGAAATCTTAAAGGAAACTAGCCAACTTGTGTCGATGCAATAACGTATAAATGTGAGTGCTAAATAAGATTGACGTCAATAAAGCCATTCAAAGTTGAAGGAAAAAAAACTAATCTTTTACTAAATTTATAGCTTACCCGGCATAACCAGCATTCATGTCCATTACATTCCGAACACTTGACCAGCTTATCGAAAGACCATTGTCATAAACATCTGACACTAGTTGAGACCAGTGCTTGCTATCCTTGTTGAACTCATCAATGGCATCTGAATCGTGACGTAAGCTAGGGGGCTTACTTGTAAGTCTCTGAGGCCAAGGCGTGGGCCAGCTCAGCGCTTTACCCTTACCATCAACCGGAAGAGGGGTAAGGCAGCTATTGAGTCGGGAGTACCTAAAAAATATTATTGCATCAGAAATAAGAATAGAAAGAATGTAAGCAAAAGGAAGCAACAATATAGTGATTTGATTTGCGGCGGTGTAAATAAATTTTTCAATCACATACCATGAGCTATTTTTCCCATCCACGTTTTCACATATAGGTGGATTGTTCTCTTTACGTTTCTTATAGCAAGAAGATGAAGTAGGCTTCTGGTATATAACAAGTCCAATTCCAGATGAATCGTCGGCCTTAGCCACAACCTTCCAGCACAAAGCTTTTGTTATAGCCACCATGGCTGCATTTTGAAAAATAAAATTTTATGAGATTTATTTTATTTTTCTTAAGCACAAAGGATAAGAAGATATAACGATTGATCTCCTAAGATATATATAACAATTAGTATCCATATTACATATTACAAAAATTTAGCATAGAGAAAGAGACAAACCTTTCCATACTTTCTGATCTCGATCATCATCGCGATAAACTGGTGTTGCAGACCATGCAAAGTAACCGCCGGGTCTAAGAATCCTATTAAGTTCGTATAACGGTTTACCACCTAAAATTGTGAACCAGATTTTCAGATGCTTATATTAACTGAACTAGTAAGGAAGCTCTAGAATGTCCTGATATGAAAAAAAGAAAGACAATTACCATCTGCATCCCAATGAACTCTGCATCGTGCACAATGTATCAAATCGAAACCATTGTCAGGAAAAGTCAACTTTTGTGTTCCAATAACCGAAAGAGTAGCGGGAATTCCCCGCTCCAAGGCAAATTGTATCTGAGCTTCATGTTCATCTTTCGGGGCAAATGACATGGTAATAACATTTTTGTCTAACAGATAGCCACCAAAGCTAGCAACGCCGCAACCAACATCAAGAACAACCCTAACATGCTTCCCCCATTGAATTTTCGCTAATGCCTAGGGCACAACAAAACAAATCAACGAATCACAAAGCGTAGTCGCTAGCTAGTAAGCATTCAAAAACTACTCCTATATCATAATAAAGGAAAACTTTGGGAATGCACAAAAAATTATACCTTCTCTATGAAATCAATATAATGATCAACTCCGTCTTTGAATTGAGTACCACCTCCTGGAAATTTGAGATATTCACCCGATTTCACAACCCAGTGTTGGTCTTTCTTGTACTCAACTAGCTTTGAATAAGGAACATTATCATACCAAATCTGTTTAAACCGAAATAATTGAATCATCTATACAATTTAACAAACCAACATAAAAGGGAAGTAATTGAACCTAATAAGGTAGCATTTCATGGTAAAATTGAGCTAAAACTACAACACTATGAACAAAGGCCTAATACTTTATGTAGCACCGACAACTCTGAAAAAAGAAAAGGTTTATCCGTCTCAATGTCGGTGTTTGAAAAACGACACAAAAACTTGTGATTATGTTTAATTTATTCATTCTTTCAAATTATTACGAGTGTCTATGTAGCAGTGTGTTTTCTATGTTTGTGCTTCATAGCTAATACTATTATAGATCAAATGAGAAAAAAACAAGTTCAAGAAACAAGGATCTAGACCAAAAACAAAAACACACAAATTCTTACCAAACCAACAATCTCACCATGTCCCTGCTCTTAGGCCAACGAACTGGTTTTTTATAACCTTTGGGAATAGGCAACAAACAGTTGAGACTAGTTTCAGGACAATGTCTTTCTCTATGCTCCATGTGTCTCCTCGACTTCAAATCCTTAATCGCTTTATAATTATCCAAACAAGGTATATAATCAACCGTCACACTTTCCTTACAAAGCTTCCAATAAATACCCACGTTACTATTATTACCACCACTAACAAGAGGCTCTTGTTCCTTTGGTGGTAGCTTTTCTTGTTTTGAAATTGTAATGGAATCTGATTCTGCAGGGTTGAGTGGTGGTGGTGGTTGAGGTTGGTGTTTGAGATCAGAGTAAATAACAAAAGGGTTGAAAGTGGTGGTGATGTCGGTGGTGATGAGGAAGAGTGTGACGGAGATGAGTAAGATAGAAAGAGATAGAATGAATGGGTATTTCTTTTGCTTGAAGAAGTGTTCAACTGGAATTGCCATTTTTGGTTTTTTGTGTCTGAAATCTGGGTTTGTCTGAGTTTGAGGAATGTGTACTTAGAAGAAAAAAAACTACTTTGGTGTTAAGAAGTGAACACAGTTTCAAGTCATTCCTAGGATCTAGACGCGTTTACTGACTTTACTCTGTCGCCTAGGTGACGGTGCACGGTTTTACACTTTTACTATTTTCCTTTAATTATAATTTTAACCGTTTTTTTCCTCTCTTTTAAACTGCTTTTTAGCTTTCTAAGAATTTTTTTAAATAATAAGGTATTACCGAAATAAGTACATTTCACAGAAAATGACGTAAATAGTAAATAATTATGTTTCAGAAAATGTTAGAATCTAGTAGTCAGTTCAGATGATGTATGTATTGAATTATTTAAAGGAGATACCAAATGAGATGACGTTTACGTACATGT